TGCAGGGGCTCTGCTTTCCCTTGGGTCCAAGTCTACCTTGGTTCTACCCTCACCGGTGTATCAGAACAGTTACAAGAGAAAAATTCCCCATGTGGGAACAGGAACCCACTCCGGCCACTGACCTCCCTGGGCACGGCCAGCCCTGAAATCAGGCGTGCACAGGCAGCACCAGTTCCCCTTTCCAGTTCTCCTTTTCACTGTCCGCAAAGCCACACGGGGCTCCCGCTGACCACAGCTGACTCATGATGTCCCGTCTCTCCCCTTCTCTCCCCGGTCTCAGATCAAAAGGCTTATGAACATTTCTTCAGAGTCATTCTGAGTTGGGGTTTCCTGTTTTCCACTAGAGAATGTTTCCTGAATTAGATTCCCAAACAGTGTCCAGAACAAAGGTCAAGAAAGGTGTTGGTGCCCTGCTTAATTCCATCCAAATGTGGCTTTTCTGACAGCTGAGTTTTTTCCATCTTTACTCCATTCTCCCACGTCACTCCCACCTCTCAGAATTCAGCAGGACCCCAGGGGCATGAGCACACAGATGCCCTCATTTACATTTCCAGATTTCAGCACAGTCACCATGACATCTACACTCAGTGACACTGCCACAGTCCAAGGAAGACAGTGGCCACTCTGAACACGTGTGAGTGGCTGGACCACAGCTCTGGTCAATGCCAAGGTCGGGGAGTGTATGCACCCAATGCGCTGTAAAGACAGAATATAGCAAACAGAGTGGTTACGCCCAGCAGACACCTGTTAGTATGTGTCACACAGCAAGGCCTCTGATGGAAAGGTACAGTGTAGTGGCTCCACAGTTTAAAAAATACTGTTTCGGTTTTCTGTCTTGGCTTCTGCATCAATAAATCAAACAGGGTTTGTCTTAACAAATGATTGGTAATTGCTAAAGGTTGCCCAGAGAGCAAACTTGAAACGATGTCATTTTGCAAAATAGTAAATAAATATATTTCCAAAACAGAGAACCAAAAACAGCTATGACCAGAAGGATACTGAATCCAGCTATGGGGCTAAACACTGGGTAGACTCATTCGGGATTTAGGAAAAATCAAGGCGGGTGCCAGCTCCTGTGACCCTCCTATGCCAGTGCAGGAAATGCCCACAGAGAACTTACATTGGGTAGCTGGCTGTTTCCACTGCCTCACAGAGAATTCACATCACATATGTGTTTGGTTCTCCTTGGGAAATGCTGCAGTAGAAATGCTTGCTTTGAGGAAAAAAGTTTCACCCAAACTGACTTTTTAATAGGGTAAGAGTTTGCACTTGATTTAAAAGTGTCCTAAGTCAACACTTTGAGATTTTCTTCTTCCTAAAACATAATTAAAACCTGAAGTAAAATGTTGGATGACATCTAAAATTGTCAGTCTCTCTTCTGCAAAATCATCTTACAATTATCTTTTTCTTGGGATTACCTATGATGAACCTCTAATGAACCAAATTTATTCAGATTTCCTTCAAGTATAAAACACAAGCAGAACGCTTCTTGATTCTGAAAAAGTTTGAAGGTATTTGGCTCTGGATTTATAAGTCTGAGTAGGGATGTGTATTAACTTTAAGATTCTTAGCATTAATTTTTAATTTTACATAAAAATTGGCAGAGCTGCAGGATTATATTTACTAAACATTTATGCATCAGACTAGATGAATGTGATAACCTGCCGCTCCTGCTGACGTTATTAAACATAATTATACCTCAAGTCACATAGTTTCATGAGAAAGTACAGCCACAACTTCATGAGAGGCAGACCAGGCAAATTTCTTTCTCCTCCTCTACCTCTTACAGATTGCTCCGCAGAGAAGAACAATGCTTTCAATGCCTACTCACTAGCAAGGCTGGGAACAAAGGTGTGTATCAACGCCTTCTCAATGAGGAGAAAAACCGAGGACTATGCCACAGCTCCTGCTAGAAAAGGTAAAAATCAGTCACCTAAGACGCCTTCTCTGCCCAACACCTGTGCTATGGCCAGACCACCTGAGGCTCGCTGCACCCGTTCACAGCAGGATGAGTTTTAAGGCATACACACATTTCTCCTGAGACTGTTATAAAGGGAATTAATCTATTCTTTTGCTTCAGTTTATATACTTTTGCGGGAGGAGGGTGCTGGGAATCGAACTCGCGATATTGTGCTTGCCAGGGAGGCACTTGTGCCACTGAGCTATATCCCTCGGCCTTTAGTTTATATAACAGAGGAACTTATGCTTGTTCCTAATAAAAGCTCAAACCTAACTTTATAAGAAGTAAAAACACCATCCCTACCCTTGCCCACATTCTAAAGGTAGGCACTTTCAACAGTTGGTACTTGTATATAAAATGAAAAAATATATATACAAATATATAAAAGTATATAAAATAAGTATATAACCATATAAATATATTAAAGCATATAAGTATATAAATACATATAAAAAGTACATGAAGTTATATATCTTGACTTTTTTATGTACCAAAGCCATGGGCAGACTCACATGCATTGTATTTTTCTCATAACAAGAATGCTAAATAGGGGCTGGGGATTTAGCTCAGTGGCATAAGCACCTGCCTTGCAAGCAGGCGGTCGTGAGTTCAATCCCCGGTACCGATTAAGAAAAAAAAAAAAAAAAAGAATGCTAATTAAGATTCCTCAAACAGCCAAAGACACCCAAAGGCTAACATATGCTAATTCATATCCATTACAAATACACAGGTCATTCTCCACGGGTAAATGTTCTCATACATATGTGTGCTAGAACGAAGTCAGACTTCAAAGACAAGATGTATCTGGTAGGTGGCAACTCTCAACAGGGAGGGAGGCTGTGTGGTCTTTTCTCTGGTGTGCTTCACAGCCAAACACACAGGGTCAAATCTTACTCCACCTCTAACTGATTATGTGGTTAGTGTAAGTTGCTTAACCCTTCTGAGTTTCCTGTTCATCATGAACACAATTAGGCGAAAGACACCTTCAGAGATTTTGTAAAATACAGGCTTTGGAATGGTGTTGAAAGCCCAGTAAGCACTCTAGAAGTGCCTTATCCTGCACTGTAAAACACCCAGTAATTACAGATGATGGAACAGGTGACCAATACACCTCCACCACCAAATACCTGCTAGCCTTGTTTTGTCTTGTTTTTCAGATTATGTTTTCACATGTATCTTTTTGTGTTGACATGGAAAATGCCTTAGAAGTAAATGACTGTAAACATGCTTGGTAGCTGTAATACATATTGCAATAAGACTCTCTCTCCTCTCCTCTCCTCTCCCCAGAGTGTCTTGCCCTGGGCTCTTTAACAAACGATCCAATATTTCCCTAAGCAATGTTAACTCTTACAATCTGAGACAAATATTACCCATGGTACTGGAATAGTCAGTCTACAGTGCTGCACAGCCAGAAACACTGCCGCTGTCCACTAGTGACCGCCCGCAGCTGTAAGCACCATAAACTGCCTGCTCACAGCCGGATTCTCTCCTCTCTTACTAAGCAAGACTGATCAATGACATCCACAGCTGCAGCGGGTTAGGGCCCACACCACCGACCTCGGAATCCTCATCCCTTTATTGCACGGTGCTGGTCCCCCCCAGTGGGTCCACCCACCGCACATCCACCTCCGCAGCAGGGGTTCGGCTGACACCTAGCAAGGATTTTGGGGAAGGCTAAGGCGGACCTGGGCCGCTGTCCCATTCGTCACCGTCTGCACACCCAAGAAAATGGGCCCGGGCCACGTGACACACCCCAGGCGCGCAGCCAGACCCAGCTCCGGGTTTTAAGGTTCTTCCTTAGCACTCGTCGGCCCAGTACGATATATCCCGGTACTTCGGTGAGGTGCTTACTAAACATTTTCGGATGAGGAGGAAACGCGCGGTTTGGGCAGTGCAGGCGTCAGAGCGCCCCGAGTACTGCCAGGGGGGACTCAGTGCACCTGTCTACGAGGGGACGAGGACGCTGGCTTGGAACGCGTGGCTGCGCTCAGAGCCCAGGGAACCCACTGGCAGGGAAGCCGCAGCCCCCAGCGGCGCCCGCAACCCGGGTTCGGGGCCAGGGCCGGGCTGGAGGCGCCGCGGGGGAAGAGGTGTTCTTCCCCGTGGCATTCACCTGGGCAGGCACGGTGACTCCGTCCTCCTCGGGCTCCCAGGTGGCCTCGCCCTCGTCCGGGGCTGCGCGGGGCTCTGACCTCCACCTCGCCGGTCCGCGGCCAGAGCGCGCGCGGCGCTGGCCGAGAGGCGCCCGGATCCGAGGACCCGGCCCGCCCCCACCCACCCGGGCCGCAGCTGCGGGCCGAGCCCGGCTCCCCCGGCAGCGCCTTTGTTTTCCCGGCTCCAATTACGTTTACGGAAGTGCTGCCCGCGGGCGCTCCGGGCCGGGCCGAGGTGACAGCGGCGGGAGGCCGGGCGCGCAGAGCCCGGTCCCGGCCGCAGGTGCGCGCAGGCGGGCGGGCGGGGCTGTTGGGTCCCGCGGTCCCCACGCGCGCCCCCGTGGCGGCCCCACGCGCGCCCCCCGGGGCCCGACTCACCTGCGCGGCTGCGGGGCTCAGCGGCGCGGCACGCGGGGGGCGCTGTGCCCGGGGCGCGGGGCGGCGGCGCGCACCATCGCGCCGGCTGCGCGGCTGGAGGAGGAGGAAGAGGAGGCGGAGGGGCAGGGGGAGGATGCGGCGCGGACGCGCGGGACCGTGGCGAGCCCACCCCGCTCCGCGCGCGCTGCTCCGCTCCTGCTGCTCGCGTCGGCCGCGCGCCCGGCCCGCCTGGCCCAGCCCAGCCCGGCCCGGCCCGGCCCGGCCCCGCCGCAGGTGCAGCGCCCCGCCTCCTGCGGCGCCGATGCGTGGACGACGCTTCGGGCTCCCCGCCCCGGCCGCGGCCGGGGACACTCGCGCTGAGGGAGCTGGGGCGCGGGCTGCTGTGTCTGCGTCTCCACCCCGCGGGATCCCAGCTGAGGTCGCCTGGCCCCGGGCGGGACTGCGGGGCGCGGCGGTCCGGGGCCTTCGGATGTAGGGATTGCGGTGGTGACTATTACACGAGCACTTACTGGGTGCCGGGCACGAGTGCGCACAGTGGGCCGTTAACGCGAGGACCTCAGCAGTCTCCAGGGCCAGCCCCGCTGGTCTGTCCTCGCTTGACCCTAGAAAAAGGCGGGGTACCAGGAAGGGAGGCCGAGGGCATGGTGAGTTTGAGGCGTCCAACAGGAAACTGAGGCCAAGGGCCTTTCCTAGCTTGGCACTGGGGAGTGTTTGGAATCGCTGCTGAAGGAGACCATGCGCATTGCGCTGAGAGTGTAATTACAGTTGGGTTTCTAGTTAAGCGTGCAGAGAGGGTGGAGAGTGGAGCGGATTGTATATTCATTCAACAAGTATTTTTGCATGCCTGAAATGAGCTCTAGGGGAGACCAGATCCTATTCAAGAGTTTATGGTTTGTCCTGACAACAAATGATCGTAGGTGACATTTATGAACCTTTATAATATAGGAAGCACTAAGTCCATCAGAGTCCTATGAGTGTGGGTAGTATTGGTTCTAGTTCACAACAAAGAAAGCAGAGCCCGAAAGTTCAGGGGTTAAGCAGCTTGTCATGAAATATATGGATGAGAAGCTTATAGAGCCTCCGACTGCAGGATTTGAAGTCTTTTCTTAGAATTAAAACAATTACAAGGATGGAATCTTCTGGGAAAATTCCCTCTTGTAAATCGACTTGCAATATTGACACGGAAAAGCAAAACTCCAAGCTCAAAGCCATCAAGACTGGCTGGTTGTGCCCTGGGGGCAGCGGCTTCCTGTTGCACTATTTGGAACTAAATGGCCCCTGATGTCCCCAGTTGGTAGCTTTCACAATAGAATTATTATTCCTCTGATCTCCCCGGCTATTAAAGAAACGTCTTTTTAAAGGAAAGTTAAAAAAAAAAAAATCGACTCCAAGTCTGAGTGTTTCAGGTCTTTTCCCACCTGTGGAAAAAGAGGAAAGAAGAGAACGTGGGGCCCAGCAGGACAGGTTTTGACCTGCAAAGGCAGCTCTGTGTTGAGAGAAAAGCTGGTGTTTCTGTTTCAGATGGGACAGGGCAACCTCGAGGGTCAGTGTGGAAGAAAGTGATATTTTAATTGGCCTTCTTAAGGACAGAATCTTTTTTTCTTGGCAGCAGCAATCCTTTTAATAAGTCAGATGTTTGGCCCTAATAGGTCATTGTTTCAGCTCATATATGGTAACATGCTGAAATTTTTCATAATTTCTAAAATACCAAAAAAATATATAAGGAAACGACATAAAACTGCATAGAGGAAATGTGATTTTTCTCCCCTATCTTCTTGCCCTTTGCGAACTGATGGGTGGGTGTGGTGTTGAAAATTAGGCTCCAAGTACATTCAGTCAAGGCCTTGCACAGAAAGGCTTAAGGCAAAATTCAGCTGTTGAAATCCCAAGGCTCCCTGAAGCAGCCAAAAACACAAAGCAAGAAGCCCTGGGAAAGGGGAGGGCCAGCGCACAGAGGGTAGGGAACGCATGGGCAGTGCATTTATGAATATGGTTGATGCGTAAGACGCCTACCCGCCCTGCCCCCATTCCCCACGAGTCACCCTTCCCTGCAGATGAGGTTGTTTCAGAGACCACAGTGGAGGTGAATGAGGAAGCTTGGTAGGCACAAGGGGCCTGGGGCCCAACCTAACACCCACGCGTTTGTCAGGAGGCCCAGACACCAGCTAGTGGGAGTCGCTGTGGATGTCATCTGCATTTCCCAGGCAGGGAGTAAATGCAGGCTGCATGGTGTCAGCAGTGGGCCATCATCTTGAGCCTTCTTGCGTGGCAAGTGCCTGGTGGATACTTATCACATCGAGCATCTTTAGGCCCTGCATGAGCTTTCCAGCTGTCTGCATGCTAAGCTCACAGCTACTTTCAGTTCTGCTTCCTCACCATGATTCTCTTGTTTCCTCAGGCAGAATTGTTTATTCTCAATAAGAAAACAAACGCACTATGGTGGGTCATACTAACAAAAGTACCAGCCACTTACACAGGACTCACCGGGCACCAGCTCCACGCTCTTTCAGTATATTTATCCTCATAATCCTCACAGCAATCACATACAAGTATGACTGTTATCACCCCAGTTTATAAGAGCAAAGAGAGCAGACTGGGTGTATAAAAATGAAGCAACTCAAGCAAGTTCATCCCACCAGTGAAGGGCGGTGTGTGCGTTTGAACCCACATAGTCTGGCTCCTAATTACTCATTCCTCTGTGCTCACTTAAATACTTATGAACATGTATAGTCTTGTGGCAGGATAGGGATTTTATTTTTATGAAAATGTTGACAGGTGGAGAGGGAGTGGTTGGCATCATCAGGTGTGACGCCCCTCTTTAAAACTCTTTCCTGGACACTCTGACTTCCATGACCTGCAAGACTTGGGTTTTCCTTCTCTTTTCTGATGACTCTGAAAGTGTTCTCTCCCTCTGCCTTGGCTTCATTGCAGATTATCCAAAGGGGCCCGACATGACTCCTAGGGGTAGCTTCTCTCCTGAACACCCATCCCGTTGGTGGCAGTGAGGATGCGGAGAACAGGTTGGGTTTGGGTGAGTTGCTCCCAGCGTGTGCATAGGCTGAGGATGCAGCAGGCGTGGGCGGGGAGAGGAGGGAGGTGTTAAGAATGACTCACATTTCTGGCTGGAACAACTGGGTGGGTTGTGATAACCTTGATGGAAAGGGAGGAGACTGAGGGAGGAGCAGGTTGGATTCCTATTTGACTTGGTCAGTTTATGTGATGACACAGGTGCAGTTGTAGTGTGGGTAATTAAAGATTCCAGCGCTCAGAAGAAAGGGCTGCACCTGGCAATCAGCCTTGAGAAGCTCTTTACAATCATGAGATTCGCTTAGGGAAAGGATAGATTACTGAGAAAGCTGAGAAAGGTTGGCACTTACCAGTAAGGAGAAAGAAAGGAGGAGGAGGAAATTCAGGAGGAGTTTTTTTTTTTTTCAAGGAGTGCGTGATTCACACTCCACCCTTCCTTCAGAACCCAGATGAAATATTGCTTTTCCCAGAGGGTGTCCTGTCACCCCCAGAGCCTTCATTTACCGTTGTCTCCTCTGTTGTGACTCTCAAAATACCTTGGATTGCTCTGACTATGATGTTAGACTGAATTCCTTCAAGGCATGGACAACTTTGCATTCACATTTTTATTATTTGGTGTAGGGAGTCCATTGTAATCTCTCAAATACACTAGTTTAAACAAGATAAAAAGATGTTTATCCCTCCTATAAAATTTAGCTCAGTGGCATAAGTGCCTGCCTGGCAAGCACAAGGTCTTGAGTTCAATCCACAGTACCAAATAAATAAATAAATATAAATAAAAACAAATTGACATATCTCGGTGGCTGAATACTGTTGGGAACCAGAGGATTTATGCTTTGTTGACATGTCATAAGCTTTTATCTCTAAATTATGATAAGCTTTTATCTCTAAATCCAAAATGGCTTCACAAAACTCCAGCATCTGCCTGTCAAGGTGGTGTGCACTTCAGCCACTGGGAAAAGGGGAAGGGAGAGGCAGCTTCCTCCCTTTGAGAATGTGAGCAGAGCTGGTATCCACTGAGAAGAGAACAGGCACCAGGTACAGCTGGCATTCCCATCACCCTGTTATGACCCAGTCACAAACCCCAAGTGCCATTTCTGTAGCAGGGTAGTTATCACGCTGGGCTCCCCCAGACCCTGTGAGGGTGCACTGTTATGAGCAGAGAAAGGGAAGGCACCAAGGGGGGAGGAATGCCTCTTGCTATCTTCAAAATGCCATAATGCCAAAAATCATAATGCCTCTTGCTGTCTTCAAAAGAATTACCCATATCATCAGGTATCATGAAATTGAACAAAACAGTACAATAAAGATGAAACATTGGAGACATTACAGGACTTCAAAAGAGTTAATAGTTAAAGCAGAATGGGTATCAGTGGATCTTATTGTCTTCAAAGTAGTTGCCTATATTCTCAGATTTGATACTAGCAAACAAAACAGAATAGAGTAAAATCAGTCAAAACAAGACAGTGAAAGCAATACAGGGCTTCCAAATCAAGTTAATAGGAAATAAAAAATGGTTACCATAATATATCCTGCTGTCTTTGGAATAGCTGTCTATACCATCAAATCTAATACAAGAAGACAAACTGGAGCAGAATAAAACCAAACTAAACAGAACAATGAAAACAATATGGGTTTCAAATCATGATAAAAGATAAATGATGGCCACTGCCTTCCCTTTTTAGACAATTGCTCCCCTTTCACTTTCTTTTTTTATCTTTTAATTTTTTTAAAAAATAATTTTATTTAAAGAAAGACTAAACAAAACAGCAAACAGGTAGAAATAACACATACTTTCAAAGAAAAAATAAACAGTAATAAATCACTAGTTGATGTTTACATATTGTCTTCTTACAAATAATTGTTCAAGATACAAAAGTGGAACATATAGGTGGGAATTCAAACAGTGAGACTGCAAATAGTTCTGTTCAACTATCCAACAAAAACTTAGCAACACATGGTTATTAATCCTATATATTTAAACATATATGCACTTATCTATATCTTCATTTATGTTGAGATTAAACAAACCAAAGCCAGCTAAAATCACTCTGAACAGAGAATACTAGTATTGCTGGATTTCACATCATGACACTCCGGGGTCAGCACTAGGTACTGTAGTGTCTCTTTTTCTTCAAAGTATTTGTTCATTTTGTCATGTGTCATAAGATCAGTTCTCGTAAACTGTTTATAGGTTCTATGCATGCATGAGTCTTAACATGTATTTCTATCCTTTCTATATTAGAGGGAGAAACAAAACAAAGCAGGACAGAACAAAACATATTCTTATAGACACATAAAATGAAAAACATATAAAACCACTGTGCAGGAGTTCTACCATGATTACTGTGTTGTCTCTTGTTATCTTCGATAGAATTGGCTATATCATCAGATATAATATAATTGAATATATCAGTACATAACACTATTAATAGAAACACAACTTTGTAGATAGTGTAAAACTACAAAAACAAGTAGTAATCAAACCAGAATGGGTATCATAGTGAATCTTGTCATTTTCAGTGTAGTTGTCTATACTGTCAGACTTGATACTATCAATCATAGCAGTTTTGAATAAAATCTGTCGATAACAAATAGCAATCAAACCAGATTTAACTAAGATCAGTCATAATAAAACAGTA